AGCACATCAGAAAAGCAATCAGGTTCAGTTACTTTAATTTCAATTCCTGGTGCCCTGTGCTTTGAGATGGTTAATTTGCCAGAGTCCAGTTACCAGTTAAAATGAACTATGACCTCGACATTTAACAGAATCAAGTTATCATTCACTTTTGAGGAAGAGAAATGCTAACTGATAGAATGTCTGCAGTAAGGTGCATCTTGCTAGTTTATAACACATCTTCATGTTTATTTATTTTGCTCCTTTACTCACTCCAGCTGTTGGGCAGAAGAAGAAATGGCAGCAGTTTAAACACAGGCTACCTTATTTAGCATTGAAAGCTTTCTGCTGTTAAAGGATGTAAAAATCCTATGCGCCAATTGATGGCACGCAAGGGAGTTCCTGGTGAGAATAGGCACCTCATTTTTTATTATTTTGCATCGTTAAACAGAGCTCCATTTGCAGCACAACTTTCAAGAGCTTTTAAGTGGCATTCAACTTAAAACTTCTACCCTAATATGGCATGAAACTGCAGAACATACAGCTGCATACTACTTATGTAACCCCCCCTTCCTCCCCCCCAAAAAATGCAACTTATAGAAAATATGGATTTTCATACCCATGTCGGAAAAGGAAATCAATGATGACCAGGTTGCAATTTGCTTTGAAGAACTCTGTGCTTCTAATGATGTTAGCAACATGTGTTACTGGAACCAACTTGAAGCTTTCCACCTCTCCATCTGTTTCATTATAAATAATTTACAGCCATGCAAATTATGTAATAATAATTATATGTTGGTTAATTAAAGTTGAGGTATTTGAGCACGCTACCCTCATTCCTGGGAATAAAACCTTCTGGAAGCTTTAAATCATAACAAAACATAACATCTCTCTTGAATCTATGTCCATCAATGTCCATATAGGATATAGCTCCCACTGGGACAGCTCTGCATTAGAACAAGCACCTTCCAGTAATGAACTAAGCTATTAAGTTTATTGTACATCATCTTTTTTTTTTGAGGGGAGGGGCGGGGGAGGGAATAGGGCACATTATCTAGAACCCTAATCATGCCAATATGACATAAAAGTGAGAGAAAAAAATTACAGAAACATAAGAAAAAAAAAAAGAAAAGAAACCTAGAGATAAGACATACATGATGCCAGGCGAAAACAAGTTTTTTGTTATTTATGGTTCACTTCAAGTGTACGGAAAACTTTTGCTATATAAGTTTCACTTCAAGCATATGGTTGTCCTCATAGTTGGATAGTCTAGCCTAGTTCAACAGAAAGTCAAAAACTTACCTGCCGGAAATAGAACTTGGTATGCCTGCTTCCTCTTCACATTCCTTCACAAGGTTCTTTTCACAGGAAATACCATGTGGCTGTAATTAGGATGGTGTACGGTTAAATCATATTGAACTAAAACTTTTCCAGCTTATTCCAGGAGCAGAAAAAGCAACAACAAATGCACTAACAGCATTCTTATTCTTTTCAAGTTTTATAATTCTGGTTAAACAAATACACAGGCATAATCTTTTAAGGTATGGTAATTCTGGTTAGACGAACAGGGAGGCAAATGCACCAAATACAAAGTGCACAAACTGATTTGGAGGCCCAGTGAATGAAAGTACCTAGCATATATCTGCCATGTCAAATATCACATTAGTACAGTGGACAGAAGAATATTCTCTAGGCTCGTCTGTACACTTTTCTACTTACAATGCAGAAACTGTTATCTAGAGGTACACAGCCCCTGTAGGCAGAGAAACTTTGAGTGCGGGACAAGAGTTACTAAAATACAATGGGAAGTTCAGCATAAAGATGCCCCCAGCAGACAAAATACTTTCCATGTTCAGGTTCATATACAATGCATGAGTGGTAACTACCTAGCACAAAATAAAAGTCAGTACTTACCAGTCCACCAGCCACTAGATGATCAAGCATCCCTGGATAGGTGGGTTTCACTTCACTTCTCTTCCCTACCCAAAGATACTTCTGCCCGTCCTTTTCAACATAGCCATTCATGTGTACTCCATAAGCCTGCTTTAACATAACATGACACAAGACAGAGGGAGGAGGAGGGGGAGCATCAATAAGTTTTACAGGCAAAAATTGCAGCCATGAATCCTAATCCAATCCTCCTTTTCATCTTAAAATGCCACAATTCTCACAAGGTTTATTTTCAAACTTAGCTACCAATTAAGTAATTATTGGAAGGTATCCAAAAATTATAGAAACAACCAGTAGTAACCAAAAGAGTAGCACCCAATATATGTTCAAGCTAGCCATCCTGCACAAATGGTAGTAGGATACTAGAAACAACCATATTACTGAAACTGTTCTTGGGTGCTTGGCGATGGCAATAGTCAGTATAAAATTAGGAGGCCAAGACGTAATAAGAACAAGCATTTATCACTAACCATTACGTAAGCTGCACCCATAACTACATTGGCAATATATCTTTATTTCAGAATAAAAATTTGAACTGTATGGCATCAAAATGTTCAGAAGCCATAGAGTTAGAAAGGAACAGACTCTTTTATACCTTTGTCCCAAAGTATGGTGCTGCTGCTCGTTCAACCGAAAAAAATATAGGCGAACCAAAAGAAGATACGACAGGGTATAGCTGCACAAATCAAATGAATTAAGAGTTAACCCAAGAAGTAGTGCCTATGGAATGGTGATTAAACTCAAAAAATCAGAATCATAGAAGCAAAACAGCCGCTATAACCACATTAAGGAAATTAGATGAAAAGGCAGCATCCAGTGATTTAAGAAGTACCTCATTTCGTATACCTGGAATCAGTTCCTCCCCCAAACACTTGACAACATCTCCAACAGCTCTTGTCCGATCCTCAGCAGTCGTCAGAGATGAATGCAGAGTGACATGGCACCCGAAATTGCTGCCGAAAGCCTTGGTATCTTTTTGGAAGATGAACACATCCCTGAACTTCCTCAGATGATCTGCAAACCTACATTACATGGAAAACACCGTGTTGGAAAAATAACAAGAAGAAGGAATAAAGAAGGAAAGAACCCTATGAAATTCAAACAAGCTGAAGCGATAACATCTGTAGAAGCATTCTCATTTGTAACTAGATTCATGAACCAGGTCAGCGGAACAAGTACGTTAACTGGTAAGGTTTAATTGATCTGCTGATTAATATCAATTTGATTAATTTCACTTTCTCTACACATAAAGTTCCACTTCCTCATGCTAATTTTTCCAATTACATAACGTTACAGAAATAACAACACAGTTGGGACATCCTTGAAAGCTGCCACTTTTTTATTTTTTATTTTTCCAATTCTATAACCTCCAAAATAATATCAAGCATTCATTAAAAAATCACAATCAATATAAAAGACAACTAATACTGATATACAATAAATAATTAACTTTAGATAAATATAAGATGTACTACAATGGGCTTACCCAAAATGTACATAGCCAACTATTTGATTTGCAATGACGAATGGCATAAACTCATTTAGCTTCTCCTGCAAAATTGGTTTCCAATTAAATCAGAAAAAATAAATACTATAAAAGTACAGATATGTGAAAGGGTGGGTATCTTATAGCTTAGCATACTGTTCAATTGGTGGCGTGGGGAAGGGGGGGGGGTGTGTTGAGGTGCTAGTTTTTAGCGGTATTACCAAATTGCGGTTGCAGAGTTTGACTCTGTCAAAGAAGCCTCCGAGGTCAGATGCAGAGTCAGTTTCATTTGATTCACCGGCTCGAAATACATCATCCCATGTGAAGCAGCAGCTGCCAACAGATGACGCAGTGGTGGAACCCAAACGATGTCGTGCTGCTGCAACAGACCGCGAAGAAAATGATGAAAATTTGATCCTACCCTGGAGAGCTGGAGATGGAGACGGAGAAATGGAGGGAATAGATGCGCGAGGAAGATGGTGGTGGAAGTGGAGCTTGCTTATACTTGTGCCGCTGCAGCAGCAGATGGTCGTGATACCACTACTGATTCCCATTTTCCAGTTCGTTGAACAGCATTGACGAGAGAGAGAGAGCTGTACATATTCAACGACATATAAATAGCACGCGCGTGTCAAGTCCGCATAATCATTTCCAACTGCCACGCAGCAACAACGTACTTGGTAGTGCTACAGGTAACTACTCGTGTGAGCTAATGGATTTCAAGTTTGTTATGGATTTCAAAATCATTGGGGCGTTTAGATGGCAATGTGTGAGCTAATGGACTAGAAGCTTTGGCATTCAGAAAGATACCAACCAATTGGCCATTACCTTCATTTTCAGTTGAATGAAAATGTTTGAATCATTGTGGGTCATTTTAGGTCGTGCGTTTGATAAAATTCAGGTATAAAAATGTTTGAATCACTTAAATTATTGAATTATTAAATACTAAATTTGTTATATTTTAGGATTCATCACTTATATTTTAGATTTAATTTTACTTAAAAAATTTAATATCATCTAAATAATTAATTAATTCAAATATTCTATTTTTAATTATTAAACACGTATAACACGTCAAGATATAAATTCATTAAATTTGAAACTTACGTCCTTACGCAGAATGATTTTGAAATCCACAAGAAACGTGGGAATTGCTCTTTGGAGGTCTGTGGGCATCTTCAACAGGGGTGTGTAATGGGGGTATAATGTCCCCATTACACTGTCTTGTCATGAAGATTACACGCATAATATCCATTATACTTGTAATTCATGATGCTATGGGATTCAAATAATTTATTTTTAAAATAATAAATTTATTTATTTATGGATTATGTATTGTGCATTATTAAAATAAAAAAGGAGAGAACGTATAATAAAAGAGGAGATAGTGAAATATTGATGTGGCATGTAGATCTATGCTATTATATTCTTATGAGTGTAATTTATTGTGAATAAGGGTGTAATAAAAAATAATAATAAAATACTGATATGACACGTGAATTAAATCATGACGGGTATAATAGTATTGTAGATGCTATTAGAACAACTCAACCAATGATGATCAGTGGATACGGGGTTCAGTTCAAAACGGACATGGCCCAAGTCACGTCAGGACAAGATGGGGAATTCGAAGTTGAGAATCAGACGCCACTCTCGTCGTGGTGCATACGCAACAGAGGAGGCCTGTATTCCATATTTTAAACTTATTCCGGCTCGGATTCCTCCCTCCTCCTCCCGACTCCGTCCCTTGCTTAAAACCCACAATTTCAGCTTACTTATACTGCTATGCTTCTCTAATTCTCCAGAATTCCCCCTACGTATGCAGCCGGCTCCACCTTTAAATCTTCAAAGCACCACTACCACCATTACTCTCTGAAGTCTCTCTCTCAATCGCTCTTTCAATACGGTCCCCTGCGATTGCCTTCACCTCCGCAGCCTTCCGCCGCCAGTCGTCTTACTCGTCCATTTCCAATAATGTCGTCCTACTCTTCTCAACCTCAGACTCACGTTGTTCAAACAGTTTCTATTTCATACACGCAACTCAAGGTATCCGTGTTTCCTTCGCCAATCGCCACTAACTGCTCCATATATAGCTATTTAGTTAGGTATATCCACGTCTTACTTGTCCCTTTTGGAAACTCATGAGCTAATTTACAAACTCTGGCATTAGAGTTGCCATTGGAATTTTCTTGTCTGTGTATGTATGCATGTTGTTTGACATGTGCTTAGGTGTTAGCATAGGTACGAGAATATGTATACAAAGTTTCTCTATAATATGATTGCAAATCTGGGAAATGCATTAGCACATCAAGTAGCTAATAACTACTACTAGTTTTCATTCGTTTTCGATAGTTCATGATCAGAGAGCTAATTGCCGCATTCTGTTTTTAGGAGTCAATAGAATGGAATTTATTTGAGGTTCGCAGTTTTCATTTACAGTGAACGTGGCGTTAATTTTGAAGTATGAAGGAAACTCAAAAAACCGGTCTCTAAATTTACGCGTCCAAGTGTTTAAAAGAAAGAAAGAAAAAAAAGACTTTAGTAAGTGTATCTTCGTTCAATGTCCTCACATGCATGAATTTTTATACATTTAGACATGTGCATGTATGCGTACTGAAATTTGTTTTCTGGTGTATTTATGAACTAGGATAAAGGTGCTGATTTGTCCGCAAAGATTGAGGAAGGCTTTGGGCCAAATGGTTTGGGAATTCTTTCTATAGCAGATGTACATAATATACTTTGTTGCAAACCACCACTTTTTTACTTATTGCATATAGATTGTGCTTCTTATGGTTTTTCTGCATGAAAGTTCTTGCATTTGTTTGCTGAATTCTGTAGTTATTGCCTCTTGCTTTTTTTTTTTTTGTATCAATTTAAGTCTAGTAGTTGTTCTTGCCTATTTTTCAGTCTAACTGATTTTGTTATAGGTTCCTGGGTATTCATCATTGCGTCAAAGCCTTCTCCATCTTTCACCTCGGTATGAGATCCTGCATGAAATGTTTACGCGTTAGTTGAACGCGCAAAGATTACTTACACAAAGGAGATGTTCAGGATTTCTAAGTTTGTTTCTTTGTATCAGATTAGCAGGCCTTTCAGATGATCAGAAGAGGGAGCTCGAAGACCCTGATAGTAGGTAAATGTAATATAAGCACACGGTCAATAATTCTGAAATAACCGTTTTTCAACTATTGGATAGTGGAATTAAAATAGGTTGCTTCCATGTACTTCATTGGTGTTAGTATAAACTTGGTCACCATCATCTCTTGCAATTTGGTTCATTAGCTTATTAAGCTTGAAAATTTTGTAACCTTGTCCCACCTGCTGTATACAGACTCAAATGTGTCAAAAATTTTGTTGAAATTATGCAGATACAACTTCGGATGGAGTCATGGAAAAGAGAAGCTTGAATCCGGAAAGCCAGGTAAAGCTTGTGCAATTGGTACATTGACTCAACTAGTATCTTTTGATTTGGTCATTTGAACCATATTAATGCGTGTGGGAGGACAATGTGAAGTTCAAAGCTTCTATGGCAGTGAGATTTGTAATTGGTCTGTTTAGGTTTGATCTTTTCATCTTTAACACCACACTGTCATGGATTTACATTCATTTTAACCGTCAGGGTATTCCTCTTGTAAAAAGCTGCAACTTTCGTGACCAATACTGTGTTTGAGTTGCATATTTTTTTCAGTCTACAATCACCTTGATAACATCTTCTCTTCTGTTGTGGTTGTCTTTGAATGCAGATACACTGAAAGGGTCATTTTACGCAAATCCAGTACTAGATAAACCTACCAGTGATCCAGCCCTTATTCAACGGTACATGTGGCTAGTGTTATCCTTCATTTAGAAATATTATGACTGGCTACTTTCATGTGCAAATATATCAGACTCATTCGATATCTCTTGTGATTTCTGTCAATGAGTTAAAGGAAATATTTTGCTAGAAAGTTCATCAGAATTTTCTTGTACAAATTTCAATTTTGTGAAGAGTACCCGTGCTTATAGGTCTTGCTAAACTTCTGCTGTGTCACTTCTAATAGGTACCCTTCATACTGTGGAGCAAATATTTGGCCTCGTAGTGCTCTCCCAGATCTCGAACCAGGTATGTAATGTATTTCTGGAATAGTTTTTCTTCTTGCTCTTTGGAAGTTACAAATAGATACACTGTCAATCAGGGTGTTCTTTACATGTGGTCCTGACACTTAGTATATGCTCATCTAGATGCTCAGCCTATCTAATCTAACACTTACCACTTGCTTATGGATGTCAAACTTGTCTTACAAATTTCAAAAATCTGGTGCGGCATGAACTACGGTTAATATGGGTAAAAGTTTAGGTGTGGGGAATCAGCTGCCTTTGATAATTAGTATGTATCCAGATCATTGATTGAAACTTGTAAGATTAAGAAGAACTATCAATTCAAATGTGCGAGCTGGATTTTATAATGTCTACTGCATAATTTTTTAAACTAAGTCGTGCAGGCTTAATTGTCAAATTCAATCCTTGAAATATCACTCTTACAATGTGTTTCTCATTTCTGATTTCATCATGATGTCTAGATTTATTGTATCCAACTCATTAATGTACTTCTCAGTGTTTGCATTATTTTATGTTACTTTATCTGCATCATTGGAGCTAAATTAGTCTTCATGGAATGAGCGATTCAACACCTTAGGGATGGAATAGCTGTAAAATTCATCTGGAATTTCATTTACGTTTACTGCCTTTACCTGCACCATTTTTTTTGGGGGCCGGGGGGGGGGGGGGGGGAAGGGGTTGGTTCTCTCCTTCTTCATTTGATATGTGATGGAATAGGCATAAATTATATATCTATTCATTTTGGTGCAAAATGATATATATGAATATACAACTTAATTGCATCTCCATGTTCTTTGAAGGTTAGTTCATCTTGTTATAGTTACTCAGCATCTGTCCTCAATGTGTAGCTTTTAAAGCTCTCGGGAAGCTGATTCTGGAAGTTGGGATGTTGTTGGCATATCACTGTGACCTCTATGGTAAGTTGATCTTAAATGCTCTCTTTTCTTTTCACTTATCTACTTGCCTCCTGGTTCTTTTTTTTTTTGTTTCCTAATTCCTGACCTCTTTTCTAACATGTAAGAGGACCTTTCTGCTTGTACTTGTTGTAGTTTTACTTGAGAATTATTGGTATTGTGTATTTAGTGAATTCCATATGGATATCTGCAGCATTTCAAGGGATGAAAATGCTTGAGGATGAAGGCCTTGAACAGATACTTCGTCGCTCAAGATGTCATAAAGGTCGTCTGTTGTACTATTTTCCTGCAAAACACAGGTTAGTTTCCTCATTACTTGTCTATTATTACCCTGTGAAGTTTAGTCCATGTTATATGTATTACCAATATATAAGTTCTATCTCTCATAAGGTTATATTGCACATTGAATTTTGTTAATGCGGAAAAAAGGGAAAATATAATTCTGTTTTGCCTGAATCAGTTGAATCTATAATTGCATAAGTAGAATGAGACATAGGTTACTTGTAAGCGACTTAAATGTTTAAACTGCTTATTAATTGATTATGAGATGATGACTGCAAAAATATTGAAAGTTTTGGCACTTAAGCTATCTTTTTTATTGAAAATATGGATGCTTAGTCAATGAAGCACAGGCCTAACAATGTTCATAAATGATAAATATACCAGAATAATAATGATGAAAATATCAATGGAATACAAGTTCTACTCTGAACAGAGTCTTCTGTCTCTCACCCTTCTCTGTTCAATATATTTGGACAGTACTAGTGCTTAGTCTTTGTATTAAATTCTTTTTCATCTGTTGCAAAAAGTTAAAAGAAAATTTGATGTTCTGTAATCATCTGATGGCCATCTTTGCGATACTGGCATACTGCTTCATTCTTCCTACCAGAGATTTTCTTCTTCAAGGACTTTCCTACTAGTTAGACTGACCGTTTGATAGTGAATGTGCTTCTCATTCACCAATTTCTAATAGATAAATATTCTTAATTATAACTGTGTGCATAGCTGATGGTGGGACTGGTCATTTTGTGCTTTGATTTTCTTTCACTTGGGATCTTTGTTTTCCTTTTCTTCTTTTCCCTTTTGGGTTGGGGGTGGATTTTTTTTTTTTTTGTTGGGGGGGGGGGGGGGAGGGGGTGGTTCAATACCTCCATCAGCTTATGGATGCATCACTAAGATTATTGTTTCTTGTATTTGCATGAGATTATTTTCTTTTTGGCCAGTTACTTTTTTCATCTTTTACTAAATCTACTTGAGGTTCTTTTCTTAGTTTAAACATCAATACAATCCTTACTGAAGAAAAATATTGATCTTCATTAACCTGTATCTCAAGGTGGAAAATTCTTGGTTAAGATCTCAATGAATATCTTTTACCTGAATTATATGACTTGTGCTGCAGTAGTTGCAGTCAGGATGGTGAGTTGATGTCATCTTGGTGTGGATGGCACACTGATCATGGTTCTCTCACGGGTAAGTCATGTCTGAAAAATGGTACCTGGGTCAAATAACTATAAGTGGCTAAGTACTGGAACAGTCATAAAATGAAATTAGGCCCTACCCTAGGGATGATTATAAAACTGTGGTCACCTGGACCACAAGCACATGAATGTGCTGGGACATTTCCTGAATATGCCAAATGTTAGTCTATTCTCCTAGCAAAAGAGCTGTTAATTAGCTACATATCTTGTGTGGTGTCTTAGTGAATTGCAATCTTCTGTTCTATAAGTTCCACCTCTTTTACCATCAACAGTTTCTATTCAATGCATCCACGGTGCCTAAAACATAGAGATTACCATTGTCAAATGACATGAAAAAGTGGAAAAATTATCATCCTTGCTTGATTCAAGGAACAGGAAGGCAGAACTCATGCTATTGATATGCATCTGTTTAATTACTTTCCAACCTACACTAGGACTTTTAAAGTATCCATTCACAGACGAGTAAAACAAAGTTTAGTTACAGTTCAACTTATATGTGCTTTGTATGCAAACTCTGAAACATAAAGTCAAGTCAAACCATGTAGCCCAAATCCCTTCTTTTAAACCTTGCAAAAATTTAAATTGCCTTTTCCCTCCTTGGATGTGAGATGCCTGGTCGACTTTTCCTGAAAGAAGTACAACACTCCTTTCATCCATCCGACAACTCAAGTTTGGAGTATTTGACTTATATTTTTGAAGTTTAAGTGTGCACCTTCATGCTTTCTTGTTTCTGTCTAATTGTTGCTTGAATTGAACATGTAGGTCTCGCGCGTGCCATGTTTAAGAAGGATGCTGTAGAAATATCTTGCCCTGATAATGCTGCTGGGCTTTATGTAAAATCACGTGGTGGCCAATTAGTCAAAGTATATTTCTTTATGCTCCAAAATCAAAAGAAAATTGTGTTTGGAAAATCACATTATACCTGCATGCATGCATAGATATATCTATATGTGCTTATCTGTGTTATGTATATGATTCACAATTGCTGATTTTAGGTTTCTTTCTCAACATACCTACTTATTTCAGACATCTTTATGATTGTGCTGGAGATATGACATGATATAATTTAGTTACAATGGGTGCCAATCCTAAAACAGAATCCTTGTACCATTGCAAGTTAAGCTCATGTTTGAATATTATCCATCTGCAATCCTTTCCTCATTTCAAAGAAGAGAAGAGAGTTTCTTCCCTACTCTTTTCTCTCAGTTTTTTGATATCAACAAAGTTAATGAAGATGCATTTGAAATAATTCCTTAAGATGGTTTTCCAAAATGCAGAAAGTTGGGTAGTTGTAGTGGGAAATGTTGATATGCCATGTCTGTGCATGCTTTGAAATAGAGTGTTTACTATAAAATTGGTCTTTAGAATTTCCATCTTAGATACTCATATATTGGTACCCCGTAAAATGGGTAGTAATTTCTAATCCGGGCAAATGATGATTATTGAGTTAGGTGGTGTATGGGGAAGATGAAATTGCATATCAAATAGGTGAGACAACTGAGATATTGTCCAGAGGTCGGCTCTGTGCAACACCGCATTGTGTTCGGGTATCTCCTTCTCTCTTTATGCGCTTTCAAGATTCTTGGAGAGATGGCATGGACATTTCTCTCTCTCTCTCTCTCTAAGTTTTAGGGAGCGAGAGTGGCTTTAACATTTTGCAATTCATAAAATCGAGTCTGAAATTTGTTGTCTGCTGTCCTATTATATTGATATCTGCTTGTAATATTTTAACATTTCAATTCTTTTTACTCCTTCAGAGTTTGATTTTAATATGATTTAGCTCTCATTCTCCAAGTACATAGTGGCACTCCTCGAGATAATTTGTTCTCTTTATTTATTTCATGTGAAGGATATTAAAAGTTTACTCCTTAATGAAGAGCATATATTGTAATAAGCTTGAATTAACAACTTTTAAGATTCATACTGCAAGGGTTTTAATATCCACTAAAAAGGTTTGACCACCCTATACTTGAAAGGTGCTGAAGATTTGGAGACTTTCCATATAAAGAAACTATCCGCTAGCATGTCTATGAAAAATCTCCAAAGTTCTTGTCGTAGTGAATTACTTAATATGAGTAATTACTGCAAAACTATGACAATGGTTGTGTTACGTTCTTATATTTTAAAAATGATGATAGATAAAAGACAGATTCTTGCCAAACAGATGTCCACTTTTTCTTGAAAGACGCAGGACATGTTAACTTGTTTGTTTCTCAACCTGTAAGATCCTTTAATTTCTCTGTTCCTTCACTTGCTAAACCTATGGTGCATTGAAATTAGGCACCCCTGGGGGAAGCAGCATTTGGCGTTGATCGTTCGACATTTGCATTATTCATGCAGCCTGACTGGTACGTGTGTGTTACTGTCCTGTTTGCTTTTGTTCAAGTGTCGTAGATTACTAGTCTGATTGTGCTCATACTGAGTTGTTTTTCTTATGAAACTTGATTTACGTTAAGAATCTTGGCTGTTGAAGCTGGTTGTCAGTGATTGACAGATATATGTCACTAGGTGACTGTAGGGTTGCCTTGGGTGGTTCATGGTTGGCTGGCACGGCACGCTCATCAGTTGTTGCTTTGTTAACCAGCCATAGAATCTCTAATTGATTGTGCTCTCACCTTTAGATAATTAATAAGCAAATTATGTAGCACTTTCATTCCCCAATCCCCACACAGTAAGCACCTTGTTGGATTAATTCGTTTTCAGAATTACTTGCAAAATATGAGTAACTACTCTTATTTCTTTTTTTTAATTTTTGTTGGAGCATAATGACATGGTTGCATAAGAGTAATTACTCTTATTTCATAAAGGGGAATTATCAGACGTTTGTTGAGTAAACTTACACTAGTAGAACTTCAGTTCTTTTAGCCGTTACAGTTTGAGGGGTTAAATTGTGTTGTTAGCCTATAGATTACAGGAACAGCGCTGGTTCTTCATGTTGGGAATTTTTTTGGCTTTTGATAGGTTTTATTAGTTATTCTCATAAGATCAAGGGGCTGGAGGAAAGTGAGAGAACGTGGAACGGTAATGTGGAATCTAGCGGTGCATCTTTTTAGGTGATTGTCCAACAGAAGTCCTCAGAAAATAATTTGTTGTACATTTCTTAGGTTCAACAGTCTAGAGGTATAATAAACTGCTAAACTGTAGATGATTTATGGAGTGGACGCAGTAAAGCGGGAATACGTTAAAGTCACTAACTGTGTAGGACTGCCTTCTGCGGGAACTCACGACAGTTGCGTATTAACGGTCAATTACGCCCCTGCACCTGTATAGCTATTCCTTTTGTTGGCGGGATTTGGTAAATGTGCTGAATGTTTTGAGTAATTTGTTTCGCCACTTTTTAAGGTGTGGCGTGTTCAATCTGTTTACAGCTTTTTCTAATGCTTCTACTGTACCTGTCAATATTCTTAGGGACGAAAAGCTCAAGTTTCCGGAGGTGGTGCATATTCATCAAGAGGTACCAATCATCTGCATCCCAATCATTTGAAAAAGTATGACATGCGAATTGTGATCCGTTTATATTTAGCTATCCTCCGGAGCATTGGTAACTGGATCATGTCGGTACGTTAAATTTATTCAGTTTTTCTGTGTGCTATATCCAGTTAATTCCATCTCGTGGATCTCTTACTTTCGGCGAGTATACGGAGAAGCTGCTCGACAAGTATTACCACCTGAAGATGTAGATACGATGATATTTTACTTTTTATGGGTATGTATATGATCCATATAACAAAAAGTTCGAGTCTTGTAAAACTCTCGTCTTTGTCTTTCGCATAAACTGTCCCCCAAACTGTGTGTAAATTAATTTTTGCATTGTATAAATGGTTCCCTAATCTGTTATTCGTATACCTCCACCACCGAAAAGTCAACAGGCGTGCCCAGCTTGTTGAAGCTCGCAAAGCAAAAAGATATCTTGAACGAGTAAAAAGATAGATCCTCTAATCAAAAGAGATATCTTGGTAATCATACGGCTTTGATTTTGGAATGATTGTTTCGATTTTGTAAAACTGAAAAAGCTACGAGATTTATAGTAATTCTTTTAGTTAGCAGTAGTGTTTTAGCTCCTGCCTCCTAGTGATATTGCTGACGTTGCTTATGTTGACTCGAAAGTTTTGTCGTGCTGTTCCATCATCTAGATTTGACAAAGGTGTACAAGTGATTTTATTCAATAAAGTTATTTCAATGGCTTAGCGATCAATTCATCTACACTTTATTTTGGTGAATTTTCTACCATTTATATTGTCAAAAATATAAAACCAATTCTCCCAAAAATTATTTCAACAAAATATTGCAAAAATTTTAATAATATTTTTTCTATTAGCTGTACACACATTGACGTTTTCCTTGAGCACCAATGTAAATAGTTCATCCTAAAGTGCCAACGGGATTGTTGAATTTAAACAAAATTAGTTTTTTGCAGTCAATGAGGTAAAATAGGATCATACTTGCGCGTCGCCCCTTCACATCTTTTGATCGTTTTGAACAACCACTCCCACACCAATAGCTCGCATGTCTCTAAATTTTAGTAATAGGATTTTCCCTTAGTATAGGACCATATGCTAGTTTAGTTTAGTAGCAAGAGCAATAGTAATATTAGATGTTTATGATTGACAAAAAACATATACTAAAATTGATAGTGATGTGCCGGACGAGGTTGTTGGATGTAAGCAATATTGGGTTGCAGCCAATGAGATAAAACAAAATCGCACGTTTGAATTGTCCCACCAGGAGGGATTTAAGTTCCTCCTTGGGTTGTAGGTGAGGATTCAAACCTCACTTGCAGCAAAAAAAAATTTAATGGTAGTGCCATAGCATTCTCTTAGTCTAATTAGATCTGTATATCCAATAGTCCCTAAAACAGAAGTCTTCTTAAGCTCCTCCTATCCATAGATTAGGATAGAGTAAGTTATACAATGTATTTTTGCTGGAACAAAAATTGCCCCTTCTCCTGACTCGTGATCATGTTGCATGATACTATACTAGGGCTGCAAACGAATCGAGTCGAGTCGAGTTTTGATCTAAACGAGCCAAACCTTGATTTAATTTCATTGAACTCGAACTCGAGCTCGAAAAAATAAAAAATAATTATATTTATATTTTAAAAAATAAATAAAATAATATTTTATTCTTAATAAATAATAAAATATTAAGGATATATATGTAATTTTACTATTAAAATATAAAAATATATATACTTAAAATAAAAAAAATATATATATATATATATACTCGGCTCGCGAGCTAACGAGTTTAAAATTTTGAGCTCAAGTTCGAGCTCGATTTCGACTCGAACCAGCTCGAACTCGACTCGAGCCGCTCGATTCATTTGCAGTCCTACACCATACTCGTTCTTTTTCTTTTTTCTTTTTTTTTTTTTTTGGTGTTGAAACTCACGTGCATTAAGCTCAAATACTGGAAAAATGCTTGGTCGTAAAATGTACATTCAATTTTCTTTAATTATTAAGGATCAAAGGATATGACCATCATGAGAAATTAACGAAAGCCACTCAGCAATGTTCCGCGGATAGTTTAAATGTACCTAATATTTGGTGTGAATCATTGCACAAAACTTGCATAAAATTGCTTTTGAAGTTGTCCATTCTGAAAGATTACATGTATTTAACACGTCATTTACAGATTTTAGTAGGATGATTAGGTGAACTCAGAAACAATAATAATAATAATAATGTCACTTCACATCACATAATATATATATATTTATGTATCTCAATACCTGATTTTTAACCAAACACATGAACTATATATATATTTCTTCCTGGCGTCGCAATCTAGAAGCAGCCGGTGGGTGTTTACCGCCCGCCCACCTTTATAATTATCAAAGCTGCCAAAACCAATTTCTTGCTCGACCTTGTAAAATTTGATATGATCCAATGAATTTGCAACAACAGCCAAACAACATTAGTCAGCAATTTGACAAAAATTGTCCACTTGGGAGTAGAGAAAGACCGTAAACCTTTAAAATATACCTCAAGATTACGACACCTTAATCGGAATTAGTTAACAAAATCTTTTCAACTATTCCTGAATTGATCTCAAATCCGACGGGGACAGCATTTCTTTCTTTTTATTAATTTTTGATAAACAGGGACGGCCTATTTACACTTGAGGGAGCTAATCTAAGAAATTCCAATAATTGAACCAATATTCATAATTAAGGAGTAATTCTTTTATCAAAAGATGCCAAATTACCACGGAGAATATACGCCTGGACAGGGGAACCTCTGCCATGTCATAGGAGATAAGACTGGTCCCACACGATGTGATATGCGTTTACTTTTTTTCTGGAGGAACAAATATATGAACAAGGAGCTCCTGTAGCTATGCAAACTGCGTGCAAAATGTTCTTTTGTCACAAATGGTCGAATGACACCCTGACACAAAGGGATAATAAATACCGACAGATGGTGATGCAAGTGGAAGCGGCTTGCATCTCTTAATTAATCATGATATTTCGAGTTCGAAACTCATGAGAATGAAAAAAAAAAAAAAAACCAACTTTGGGAGAGATTTTTTCTGTAAAGGATCCTACGCGGCTCGAACAGGATTAGTCGCAGACCGTAAAAAAGATGCGGACACCTGTGGGTTATACTCAAAAAAAAAAAAAAAAGAAGGCAATAAATCTCTTTTCGTTTAGACGAACATTTCATGTGATTATGAAGTCCGGATAATCAGTTTTTGTTGATGTTCTGGTTTGTTTTTATATTTAATTATAAATTTTTTGAAAGTGAAAAAAAAAAAAAAAAGAGAGAGAAGAAGAAGTTGTTCGTTAGGCTAAGATCTACGGCGGCTTGCAGTTGTAAGGAATGGAATTTTGGAATGGTTGGCGAAACTATATACTGACAAACTCTTTATTGGTGTGCAAATTGAATAAATTCTGCCGCTTCCGAAACTTCGAAAAAAAGGAAAACGTGTTTGAATTGAACACGTAGAGCACTCGGAGCAACTTGTAGTATCCAATTTCAGTCCCATTTCCGCTTCTGTCTCTTTCTCTGTAGCCATGCATAAAATAAAAGCATCAAAAGTGAATTTGTTCAGGTTTCTGGTTCTCTTCCACACGGCTCTTTCCTTTGCTCAGTCTTATCCATTGCATTGCCTTCGAGAGAGGAGGCCTTTGCTAGTCAAGCTCTGCCCCCACCCGCCAAAAACCTGCAAAATTTTCGGTCAAAATTTTGTGCTGCTACTAGTACTACTGCCATGTTACACGTATGATCACCTAGAACAATGGACTCTCGTCCACGCCCACCACCGAAATTAAAGCGCAGTTACATGAAAAAAAAGTCCACAATTTTTGAAGCTTTAAATCATTAAATGTTGAGCTCAAAGGTATACCAATAATTAAGCTTCTTTTTTAATTCCCAAAAAAGTTTCAGCCTACTTTTAGTTGTAGCGGGGGGAACAGATGTGTAGTGTACAGACTATCTGTTTACTTGTAATCTATGCTCTTCGTAAGACGTATTTTGGGACGTTCATGTGTCAATTATTTAAATGAAATATTTAAATAGGCCACTCTATTGTGGTACTACTACTTAAAAATAGGAATATATATATATATATATTTAACTATAGACCACTCCACGTAAATATGTGGAGGGGATGGCGCATTTATGCACTTATGTTTTGTTTGAATTGTATTTTTCTGAACTTTTTGTGTGTTTAGAAAAAATCTAGCAATTTTTCTTTAAAAACATGCAATTCAAACAGGGTTTAGTTTATAGTCGAAAATGTTAGGATGCAAACTAGTTTGGAATAGTAGGATGCTTAGTTTGTGAGTTTTAGAGCATATGAAAGCTATAAAAATATATATATATATATATATATATATATATATATATATAAACGGAAAATTACATTAAGGGGTAAAAAAAATGAAGAGAAAAGACAAATTTGTAAATATTCTTTTAGGTTATTTGAGAGTTTTATGAGACAAAACACGATTAAGATTATTCTTAGTTCGGTTGGAAGGCAAGAAATTGCATGGATAAAATAATATTTTTTATTTAAAATAAAAAAAAATGTGTAAGGATACATGTTTTTAGGTATTAATATCCATTATTATGATATGACCGCAAACTTAAACAACGGGACCACGATATCTAGCACTAGCCTCTCTCTCTCTGGCCTCTCTATATATGACGGGCTTTCCTATACTCTGCTCCCAGCGCAATCAATCTTCTTCTCCCTTAATTCTATCTCAAAGCTAATTTCCGAAGTTCCAGGCAGAGAGTCTCCAGTCTCCACCACCATGAGTATTTCTTACTTAATCCCACCGTCGTCTGGCTCTGGACGCAAAAGCGGCCGGAGAAATGGGTTCAGGAAGCGGTGTTTGATGGTGATGAAGCAGCAGAAAACAAGAATCTACATCCTCAGGCGCTGCGTCACCATGCTTTTGTGTTGGCACGATCACACCTTATCAGATTAGTAGCTCAATAAATTGAGTATCTTGTCCGACAGCAATTCAGGGGACGCCCCCGGAAGCGAGACGGAGAACCCATGTGATTCTTTTTGATGATATGATCCGGCAAATCTTGATCTTGGCCGAAACGGAAGGGTTCAGCAATTAAAGGTCATTAGAGATCAAGGGTAGGTGCTGCAGTCCAAAAATGGGCTGAAATCGTTTGGTCAAGAGATGTTTATGCTTAAGGTCAATGGACTCATCCCCATTTGTCTTGATAGCTGTACAGGAGTTGGAGAGGAAAAGGGGCAAAACTCTCTGTTCAGAACTGGAGAGCTATTTCTCCTCTTGTAGTTGTAGCCCGTGGATGATGAATCTACTTGAAAAATTGATCTTGTATGGATGAATTTGTCATCGAATCTAGGTCTTACGCCTTGATGATTTCTTTTTGAGGAACGCGTAAACAGCAGTGTTAATATTACTGTATTGATAATTTGTCACTGACTTCCGGGTGCTTTTGCAAGCAAATTTTTTTTTTTTTTTTTTTGTTTTGTCACCAGATAGCACAACTCTTGATGATGAATAACATCAGATGAACAACCAAATAAATTGAACTAATTAAACAAGGATTATATGGGAAGTTACAGTCTATAGTCCACCCAATAACATGATGGATCATCAAATGATCTTCATTCCTTCCACTATGCATGATTTCACCATATCTTTCCACTGACATGCATACTTGAGGAGCAATTGGGATTTGGTTGGTTGGTTATGGGGGGGCTTCTTAATCAATTGCCCCACATGTAGGTGATCGGAGAAGCAAATTTCTCTGTCGCATCAACTTCATGGTCAGAGATGTGGTTTGCATAGCGGGGTAACCTTTAGAGGCTGCCTCACTACTTGTGCCTTAAATGAGTCTAGCGGGAGGACGAGGTCATCCTTTACTCCCACCTCAATTTGTAGCCTTGTCAAAGAGTAGATAGGGTGGTGGATTGCTACCCTACAATTGGATGAGGACCAATAAGGGCTTGGTCCCTCTTTTAACTGTCCGGGACCGCTTGTTAGGATTATATTTTCACGAAACAAACTTTCATAGGTGAGATGAAGGTTGAAGCATGACGGTCACTTACTCATGATGCGCCATGAAATCTCCTTAGAAAGCTTCTTCAAATACATTTTTTGTTGTTTTGGGGGGGGGGGGGGGGGTTATGGAAGTTCTGTGAGTTTTGATTACATGCTTATACTACTACTCTTGGCAATGAAAATAAGGACTTTTGCAGATCGACATGACGGTCATTTACTTGAGTACGCTAAAATAGGCTCGATGAGAATTTTTGTTTTCCTGCTGATATAGGCTCGATGAAGAGGGTGCATCTGTGCACCTCTGGTTCATAGCAGAAGATTTCGAAGAATGAGATGCAAACTAATTGCCAAGTATAGGATGCTAAGTCTAGCGTGTGAGTTTTAAGAGCAAGGGAAAACCAAAAAAAGAATATAAATTAAGGAAAAGAAAACCAAGAGAAAAGACAAATTTGTAAACATTAAAACGTTATTTGAGAGTTTTATGAGACAAAAGACGATAAAGATTATTCTCAAGTATGAATGGAAGGCAAGAAATTGCAAGGAAAAAGTGAACATTTTATTTAAATTTTTTTTAAAAAAAAAAAAAGAGGAGAATTTGTGAGCATGCATTTTTTCAGCACTTGGGATCCTCGGTGACATGTTTTCTATGCCAATTCAATGCCATCAATAGTGTTGCACCAAGTGTCATGTTATTATTTAAACTTGTATTAAACCAAGCCAAGTTGAATTATTAAAAAATTAAAGTGTAAATAATAACAAGACACTTGGCACAACACTATTGGTGACATTGGGTTGGCATATAAAACATGTCACCGAGGATTTCAGGTGTTTTTTCAGGTAGTAGTTTCCATTGTCATGATTTGACCTCTAACGTAAACAAAGGGACCGCGATAGCTGACACGAGTCGCTAGCGCCTCTCTCTGTCTTTGGTCTCTCTATATATGACGGGTTTTCCCATGCCCTGCTCCCAAGTCCCAAGTCCCAAGTCTCAACTCAGTCCATCTTCTTCTACCTTAATTCGATCCCATGGCTGATATCCAAAATTTGAGGAGTCTCCATTCTCCACCACCATGAGCATTTCTTACTTAATCCCACCACCGTCTGATTCTCGACGCAAAAGTCGCCTGAGAAATGGGTTCAGGAAGCGGTGTTTGATGGTGATGAAGCAGCAGAAAACAAGAATCTACATTTGGTTGCGACATCAAATGGCCGCTTACTTGATTTGGTGGATAAAAAGAGGTGAGATTTTACTTAATTCTACCATCATATTTTACGTATATGTTACGTGTTCAAATCATATCCTGCTATAATTTATTTGTTAATTCACACACTCCAAATGACGTTGATTCACGATTCATGATTTTCTTATATAAAAAAAAAAAAAAAAAAATCATGAATCGTAAATCAACGTCATTTGGTGTGTGTGAATTAACAAATAGATTATAACAGGATATGAACCTTAATGATACTGCTGCGGATGATGTTGATAACCTTGAGGTACATGAAACGTACCATACTTCTTATAATTTGCAGAAATTAAGGAATTCTTAATAGAAAATATTACTAAACTTACTTGGATCAGAAATTAAGGAATTCTTAACAGAAAAGATTGCTGAACTTACTTGGAATATATATATATATATATATATATATATATATATATATATATATATTTTAACGAAGAACTGAAAAAGAAAAGATTAATGAAGTTACTTGGATTAACCTGAAAATTTTTGTAGGAAATGCCACTGAGTTCATGGGTACCTCCACCCAGAAGTGAGACAAAACAAGTAAATTTTGGAGCAATTTTTTCTTCCCATTGTGGAGTAATGAATAGCGATGATTTATTACCTATATAACTTTTCTTTTGCAGGGAAGGGGAGATGCAAAACCAAGCCTGCTGCCTGCCTCCCCAACAACCACTCTAGTTCCACTTCTACCATTCTACTGCCTGCCCCTTCCCTCTTCTACTCCAAACTCTGCTAATATTCTAACTACTGCTCCAAACTATTCTTATTACACTACTGACTATGCTCATGCCTTAATATTGTACATGGACGAATCCAAACTCCATTCATATTTTGCCTTACAATTACAGTAACCTCTGACGATGCTCATGCTTAGTACCTTTATAAGGACTTGGGATTGTACATCGATGAATCCAAACTCCACTAATATTTTGCCTTATCACTACTCCTGGCCATGCTTATGCTTAGTACAGTTACAATGACTTGAATATGGAGTAATGGATGGCAACAGGGCGATTTTGGGGCAGGGCCACCCGTCAACAAGTAACTCCCCCCGCCCCTGCCTCTCCCTTGTACTAGTGACCGAACTTCTTGTTGGCATGGTGAGGTAGCAATTCAAGGAGCATATATATGCATGATAGGTCTAGATAAATTTAGATAACTGGAAATTCCGCGAGAACTCTTGAAATAGTTCAACTAGTTGTCTTGTTAGATTTCCTTAAAGCAGGCTGATGAACATCTTGTTTGTAGCGAATAAAGAAGTAACATGACAGGAGGACTTCAGTCTTGATTCTTGTTCCCTCGTTTTATTTTCTCCAGTCTACTTGACCGATTGTAGCTATTCCTCTTAGCTCTTATAATTAAGGGTTTGTCAGAATAGTTTCGAATTATAAGTTCTTTCTTCTTGTACTCATCAAACTTTTTTTTTTAAAAAAAAAGAGGAAAAAAGAACAACTATAAATAAAATACTGTTACTATTAGTAATATTCTAGCTAAAAAAAACTAATTAATTCCAGTTACAAATAGCTAATTAAGCGTTAACTAATACTAATTTATATGGATATATAAAATTTCTATGTAATTTATTAAATGATGTGGGGAAATGATTCCCCGCTCGCCCCCCGCCCCCCCAAACATCCCCTGGCCTGCTGCTTTAAAACGGGCCTTCCGGAAAAGAATTTAAAAGGTATGGAGACATGGGGCGAATTGGAAAAGAATAAATATAGTAGCACTTTTTCGAGATAATTTTATCAAAAAAAAATAGTGTAACACTTTTTTGATTTGATATATGTGAAATAAAAAAAATTAAAAATTGTATTAATAAAGTAAGTCAGCGTGCAAATAAAGTATAAATAATGTGCAATCCAAACAATACAAAGACACGCAAAGGGATTGCAAAAGAATAAATTTACATACAAGCAACGTGTAATATTTTTCACTTTAATTCTTGAAAGTTAACTCGTCCTTAAAGGTCTAATTAGTCGTTCAAACCAATTCTGTTTAAAAGACTTATAATTCAATTCAGTTCTACACTTTTTTTTTTTTTTTAATTGTGTTTTTTGACCGTTTTGCCAGCTTGAATTGTCCATTTATACATATTTTGAGAAGCATGCTAATCATATCCTGATACTATTTGGTAGCTTGGTCACTGTTCACCACTTCCCTATATTGGTTCTACTGTTACAGTCATTCACAAAAAAAAAAAAAAAAAAAAAAAATTCACAACAAAGAGAGGAAAGCAACCAAATTGATCAAGTTAGTGGAGCGATTGATTACACATAATTAATGCCATACTGCAATTATTTGTTCTAATCATTAAGTGTTACGCTTGGCTGCGTATGAAGAACTTGGTGTGTTACTGGAAGAAAAGAGACCTAACGGTGTAAGCATAGACTGTATAGATCGAATTGGACATTTCTGCAAATTATTTTAACCAATAATATGAGTTTCCCCTCATCCCTTTTGTCTTCATTTTTAAGCATATAACTAATTTCGTTTTCCTGTTTGCTGTCAGTCCCTCGTCAATGGATCCATGAAAGTGTGAGTAGGAATACGGAACAAACAACTGTGATGCCATCTCCTTGTGGAGATGAAGATGAGCCGGAAAAGCCGAGGAGAAGCTGGGCTTTACTCATTTTAACGATGACATTATTGCACCTTGTTGCCGGGAGACGGCGGGCTTTCCATGCAGTTTGTCCATCCATTAGTGGTACTCCCACTTTAACCCTCCTACCACCCATCAATTGGCCAATTTTCTCCTCTCCATATCGGATACCACCCGACATGAGCCATTCTGCGACATAAGCATGCCAGGCCTCATACATGCAAAAACACATTATTGTTCCAAGGATGGTTGGTTGCCAGCGTCCAAGAAAAACCAACGTAGTTTGTTCTTCTTGAATCCTTTTACAACAATATACGGTGATAAAACTCCACGAGAGAGACACTATAGATGATCACATCGCTGCAATTACCATCTCCTCTCCACCCTCCCTTTTGAGAGTTGGCTTCGTCAACTGTGGAGACGAAAGATGGACCGGAGTTACCACTCGTACGTTGAGTTTCAGGCTTCTACTGGTTTCACCGAGGTGAATACTTCTGCTTGGATTTGTATTGGAGCTGAGCATGAATTGTTTTCTAGAATACATTTCCCAATTTGGCCTGCACGAACCCTAGGATCTATTTTTTTTTGCAATCTACTACAAGTACCAAGGGATGCTTCATACTGCAGATCCTTGTTCTTTTTATAAATTCGTCCCATGCATCCAATGCCAGTACACGAGGTCAGTGTCAGTCAAGGCTGCTGCATGCAAGGTCCAAACAAGGAAAAGAACACAGTTTTACACAATTACCTAACTCTTCGGCTTAGCTTAATTTGGTTATTCTGTATAATAATTCATCGTGGACAGATTTTTATTCGCTTAAAATCCCTTTTTCTTTTTCTTTTTTTTTTTACACTCTTCTGTGACACCCACGTTGGAAAAAGGGAACCCCATAGGAAAAAGAAAGACAAAAAGAAAACTGGGTATGGCCGCTAAAGAAATCATATCTTTCAACATGATGCCTATCCTCTTGTTTGGATTGCACCACGCTTTTAGCTGACGATGAAAAGGTGGTATAAAGCTGAAACTTTGATAAGAAAAGATCAAAATAAAATAAGAAAGGAAGTTTGCATGAGATCGAAACACGTAGATTTTCGTTGGAAAGTTGAGGGATTTGCGATGGTATCTTTCTGTTAAAGGAGTCAATGGCCTCTGCTAAGTACTAACTAAATCATCCACTATGGTCTACAAATTTTCTGGGGGTCCATACTTTTTTCATGACCTTCAAGTTGCTAACCAGAAAAGGAAAAAAAAATTTTTTTTCTGCTAACTGGAAATAGTTAAAGAAAAAAAGGCTGCTTATACAGGTTCATACTTTTGTCATGACCTTAACTACGAGTTGGTTAACTAAAATAGAAGGCCTTGAAGTTTACAAAACCTCAATATATAGCAAAAAATAAACAAGGGTGATTGATTATGTTTGGTCAATGATGGAACCAACCAAGGGGGCTGATGGGGGCATGGCCCCCTCCCCCAAGTATTGAAAATTTTTAATCTATAATGTGTAAATATATGCCTAAAACAAAGCTGACATTCCCTAATTTTTAAAATTTTAGTTTATATTATGAGAATATATATATATATATATATATGAATTAGCCAACATTGAATAAATTTTTTCTTCAAAAAAAGTTATTTATTTTTTACATATCTTTATAATTAAAGTTAATATTTGATATTTTTACACGTTCATATATATATATAAATAGATGAAAATTATTTTGAACATAACATATTAAGATAATTTTGTTAGAAAAAATTTTGGCCTTCCAAAGGAAAAAAAAAATTTCTGGCTCCGCCATTGGGAAGATTAGCAAGGGAGAAAGACCAGAGCAATATACGCTCCTCCTTACAGGCCACTTGGAATCCTCGATGACATGTTTTTCTATGCCAATTCAATGCCACCTATGATATTGTACCAAGTGTCCTGTTATTATTTACACTTTAATTTTCTAATAATTCAACTTGGTTTGGTTTAACATAAGTATAAATAATAACAGGACACTTGGCACAATATTATAGGTGGCATTGGATTGGCACAGAAAACATGTCATCGAGGATCCCAAATGCTTACCGGCAACATGCCTACCAAAATACCGCATCTGTGAATCCTCATTCGAAGTTCGGAATGTAACATCTCGTTTTTCAACTCTTTGATGCGTTGCATGATACACTGTACTATATCCGTGCATCAAAACCAAGATAATGCAAAACATTCATTTTCCTTCCGAATTCCAATGTCTGATTGTGAAAAAATGACAGTACCATTCATGCACATTTTCCTTTGCATCCCATAATTGAAAGCTTCTCTAGAAATTCTCCAATTAACGAAGGATCCTGATGCAAATTGCATTCCGTCCTATGAAATAAAATTTTTACACACTTCAAAGTTTTATTCCTTTCCAGTTGGAATTCCGTTATGATCAGTTTCCGACTGTGACAGGTCTTAGAGGCCCTAAATGGCTGGGTCTCATTTCACAATTTAATAACTGAATTAAAAAAGGAATCTTCCGTCCTTTTTCTTCCTTCGACGTTTCTGGCCAAACTTTTTTGGTGCGTAGATTTCATGAAGTTTTTTCCAATATCCAATCACCAATCCCACAAAATCATTATTATAACAGAAAGCAGAGTGACTAGACAGTCTAGACTAGAGTGTGAATGCTTTCACCCCTCATCATCCCGGTGCGCCTATAGATATATATCCAATCTAAACAAGAACGAATCCCCCTTCCCTTCCCATTTCATTCCTTACCTACGCAATCACTGTTAATCAAAGTTGCCGACTTTCTTGATTCACGAAAGCAGAGATTTCAAGAAAATATTCACAAAAATGAGACAAGCAAGAAAAGGGCTCATTAACTATCATCGACATGCGGTAACTGTTCTATTATTATGTTTGCTTGTCATGGTCTCAAGGGTTTCAAGCTTGGGAGTGAACTGGGGTACCATGGCATCCCACCAGCTGCCTCCTGAAAATGTGGTTCAGATGATGTTAGATAATGGGTTTGATAAAGTGAAGCTGTTTGAAGCGGATGAGAAAATTTTGGGAGCCTTGATTGGAACCGATCTTGAAGTGATGCTCGGAATTCCAAATAACATGTTGAGGGAGATCAGTCAGGATCCCGAGGCTGCTGCTTCTTGGGTTGATGCCAACGTCACTGCTTATTGCTTCAAGGGAGGGGTAAACATCAGGTTGACTCGCATTGATAATTTTCCTTAATTAGATTCTACAGTCTACATCTTTCTTGGTCGACTTTGTTTTGGGATTTTGGGAGAGAACAATATGACTTCTGACGGTATTGCATGGGAAAAAAACAGAGCATCTTTTTTCTTTGTTTAGTTCTTCTCTTTATCCTTTTCTGGTGAGTTCTTGGAACTTTATAGATTTTTGCCAAATTTGCCATTTGAGAGCTTTATAGACTTTTGCCAACTTTTGTCATGTGAGAGCTCTTTATAGCTGTTTCTTGGGTTTTTACTGTTTTGATGGTGGAGGCAGTGGGATTGCATTCTCTTGCTGTTGATAATCAACCTTTTCTGCCATCACCTGTAAAGTTTCTTTATTTTTACCAGCAGAATCCAGGGATATCCGGGTTACTAAATGAAACAGATTATTTTGTTTCCTATGATAAGTTTGTTTCTGAGTAATTAACAACCTGAACAATGAAAATGTAGATATGTTGCAGTCGGCAATG